ATGGTGCAGTGTTGAGTCTGTGGTGCAGTGTTAAGTCTGTTGTGCAGTGCTGAGTCTATGGTGCAGTGTGGAGTCTATGGTGTAGTGTTGAGTCTATTGTGCAGTGCTGAGCTATGGTGCAGTGTTGAGTCTATGGGGCAGTGTTGGAGTCTATGGGCAGTGTTGAGTCTATGGTGCAGTGTTGAGTCTATGGTGCAGTTTTGAGTCTATGGTGCAGTGTGAGTCCTATGGCAGTGTTGAGTCTATGGTACACTGCTGAGTCTATGGTGCAGTGTTGAGTCTTTGGTGGAGTGTTGAGTCTATGGGTAGTGTTGAGTCTATGGTGGAGTGCTGAGTCTATGATGCAGTGTTGAGTCTATGGTGCAGTGTTGAGTCTATGGTGCAGTGTTGAGTCTATGGTGCAGTGCTGAGTCTATGGTGCAGTGTTGAGTCTATGGGGCAGTGTTGAGTCTATGGGCAGTGTTGAGTCTATGGTGCAGTGTTGAGTCTATGGTGCAGTGTTGAGTCTATGGTGCAGTGTTGAGTCTATGGTGCAGTGTTGAGTCTATGGGCAGTGTTGAGTCTATGGGCAGTGTTGAGTCTATGGTGCAGTGTTGAGTCTATGGTGGCAGTGTTGAGTCTATGGTGCAGTGTTGAGTCTATGGTGCAGTGCTGAGTCTATGGTGCAGTGTTGAGTCTATGGTGCAGTGTTGAGTCTATGGTGCAGTGTTGAGTCTATGGTGCAGTGTTGAGTCTATGGTGCAGTGTTGAGTCTATGGTGCAGTGTTGAGTCTATGGGCAGTGTTGAGTCTATGGTGCAGTGTTGAGTCTATGGTGCAGTGTTGAGTCTATGGTGCAGTGTTGAGTCTATGGTGCAGTGTTGAGTCTATGGTGCAGTGTTGAGTCTATGGTGCAGTGTTGAGTCTATGGGGCAGTGTTGAGTCTATGGGCAGTGTTGAGTCTATGGTGCAGTGTTGAGTCTATGGTGCAGTGTTGAGTCTATGGGCAGTGTTGAGTCTATGGGCAGTGTTGAGTCTATGGTGCAGTGTTGAGTCTATGGTGCAGTGTTGAGTCTATGGTGCAGTGTTGAGTCTATGGTGCAGTGTTGAGTCTATGGTGCAGTGTTGAGTCTATGGTGCAGTAGTTAAGTCTATGGTGCAGTGTTGAGTCTATGGTGCAGTGTTGAGTCTATGGTGCAGTGCTGAGTCTATGGTGCAGTGCTGAGTCTATGGGCAGTGTTGAGTCTATGGTGCAGTGTTGAGTCTATGGTGCAGTGTTGAGTCTATGGTGCAGTGTTGAGTCTATGGTGCAGTGTTGAGTCTATGGGCAGTGTTGAGTCTAGTGGCTAGTGTTGAGTCTATGGTGCAGTGTTGAGTCTATGGTGCAGTGTTGAGTCTATGGTGCAGTGTTGAGTCTATGGTTCAGTGTTGAGTCTATGGGCAGTGTTGAGTCTATGGTGCAGTGCTGAGTCTATGGTGCAGTGTTGAGTCTATGGTGCAGTGTTGAGTCTATGGTGCAGTGTTGAGTCTATGGGCAGTGTTGAGTCTATGGTGCAGTGTTGAGTCTATGGTGCAGTTTTGAGTCTATGGTGCAGTGTTGAGTCTATGGGCAGTGTTGAGTCTATGGTACACTGCTGAGTCTATGGTGCAGTGTTGAGTCTTTGGTGGAGTGTTGAGTATGGTTAGTGTTGAGTCTATGGTTGCAGTGCTGAGTCTATGATGCAGTGTTGAGTCTATGGGCAGTGTTGAGTCTATGGTGCAGTGTTGAGTCTATGGTGCAGTGCTTGAGTCTATGGTGCAGTGCTGAGTCTATGGTGCAGTGTTGAGTCTATGGTGCAGTGCTGAGTCTATGGTGCAGTGCTGAGTCTATGGTGCAGTGTTGAGTCTATGGTGCAGTGTTGAGTCTATGGTGCAGTGTTGAGTCTGTGGTGCAGTGTTGAGTCTATGGTGCAGTGTTGAGTCTATGGTGCAGTGTTGAGTTTATGGTGCAGTGTTGAGTCTATGGTGCAGTGTTGAGTCTGTTGTGCAGTGTTGAGTCTATGGTGCAGTGTTGAGTCTATGGTGCAGTGTTGAGTCTATGGTGCAGTGTTGAGTCTATTGTGCAGTGTTGAGTCTATGGTGCAGTGTTGAGTCTATGGTGCAGTGTTGAGTCTATGGTGCAGTGTTGAGTCTATGGTGCAGTGTTGAGTCTATGGGCAGTGTTGAGTCTATGGGCAGTGTTGAGTCTATGGTGCAGTGTTGAGTCTATGGTGCAGTGTTGAGTCTATGTTGCAGTGTTGAGTCTATGGGCAGTGTTGAGTCTATGGTACAGTGTTGAGTCTATGGTGCAGTGTTGAGTCTATGGTGCAGTGTTGAGTCTATGGTGCAGTGTTGAGTCTATGGTGCAGTGTTGAGTCTATGGTGCATTGTTGAGTCTATGGGCAGTGTTGAGTCTATGTGCAGTGTTGAGTCTATGGTGCAGTGTTGAGTCTATGGTGCAGTGTTGAGTCTATGGTGCAGTGTTGAGTCTATTGTGCAGTGTTGAGTCTATGGTGCAGTGTTGAGTCTATGGGGCAGTGTTGAGTCTATGGTGCAGTGTTGAGTCTATGGTGCAGTGTTGAGTCTATGGTGCAGTTTGAGTCTATGGTGCAGTGTTGAGTCTATGTGCAGTGTTGAGTCTATGGTAGCAGTGCTGAGTCTATGGTGCAGTGTTGAGTCTTGGTGCAGTGTTGAGTCTATGGGTGCAGTGTTGAGTCTATGGTGCAGTGCTGAGTCTATGGTGCAGTGTTGAGTCTATGGTGCAGTGTTGAGTCTATTGTGCAGTGTTGAGTCTATGGTGCAGTGTTGAGTCTATGGTGCAGTGTTGAGTCTATGGGCAGTGTTGAGTCTATGGGCAGTGTTGAGTCTATGGTGCAGTGTTGAGTCTATGGTGCAGTGTTGAGTCTATGGTGCAGTGTTGAGTCTATGGTGCAGTGTTGAGTCTATGGTGCAGTGTTGAGTCTATGGTGCAGTGCTGAGTCTATGGTGCAGTGGTGAGTCTATGGTGCAGTGTTGAGTCTATGGGGCAGTGTTGAGTCTATGGTGCAGTGTTGAGTCTATGGTGCAGTGTTGAGTCTATGGGCAGTGTTGAGTCTATGGTGCAGTGTTGAGTCTATGGTGCAGTGTGAGTCTATGGTGCAGTGTTGAGTCTATGGGCAGTGTTGAGTCTATGGCGCAGTGTTGAGTCTATGGTGCAGTGTTGAGTCTATGGTGCAGTGCTGAGGTCTTATGGTGCAGTGTTGAGTCTATGGTGCAGTGTTGAGTCTATGGTGCAGGTGTTGAGTCTATGGTGCAGTGTTGAGTCTATGGTGCGGTGTTGAGTCTATGGTGCAGTGTTGAGTCTATGGGGCAGTGTTGAGTCTATGGTGCAGTGCTGAGTCTATGGTGCAGTGCTGAGTCTATGGTGCAGTGTTAAGTCTATGTTGCAGTGTTTAGTCTATGGTGCAGTGTTGAGTCTATGGGCAGTGTTGAGTCAATGGTTTAGTGTTGAGTCTATGGGTAGTGTTGAGTCTGTGGGTAGTGTTGAGTCTATGGTGCAGTGTTGAGTCTATGGTGCAGTGTTGAGTCTATGGTGCAGTGTTGAGTCAATGGTTAGTGTTGAGTCTATGGGTAGTGTTGACTAGTCTGTGGTTGCAGTGCTGGGTCTATGGTGCAGTGTTGAGTCTATGGTGCAGTGTTGAGTCTATGGTGCAGTGTTGAGTCTATGGTGTTAGTGTTGAGTCTATGGGTGGTGTTTGAGTCTATGGTGCAGTGTTGAGTCTATGGGCAGTGTTGAGTCTATGGTGCAGTGTTGAGTCTATGGTGCAGTGTTGAGTCTATGGGCAGTGTTGAGTCTATGGTGCAGTGTTGAGGTCTATGGTGGAGTGTGAGTCTGTGGTGCAGTGTTGAGTCTATTGTGCAGTGTTGAGTCTATGGTGCAGTGCTGAGTCTATGGTGGCAGTGCTGAGTCTATGGTGCAGTATTGAGTCTTTGGTGCAGTGTTGGTCTATGGGGCAGTGTTGAGTCTATGTGCAGTGTTGAGTCTTATGGGCAGTGTGAGTCTATGGTGCAGTGTTGAGTCTATGGTGCAGTGTTGAGTCTATGGTACACTGCTGAGTCTATGGTGCAGTGGTGAGTCTTTGGTGGAGTGTTGAGCTATGGGTGGTGTTGAGTCTATGGTGGAGTGCGAGTCTATGGGCAGTGTGAGTCTATGGGCAGTGTTGAGTCTATGTGCAGTGTGAGTCTATTGTGCAGTGCTGAGTCTATGGTGCAGTGCTGAGTCTCTCGTCTATGGCAGTGTTGAGTCTATGGTGTGGTGTTGAGTTTATGGTGCAGTGTTGAGTCTATGGGCAGTGTTGAGTCTATGGGCAGTGTTGAGTCTATGGTGCAGTGCTGAGTCTATGGTGCAGTGCTGAGTCTATGGGCAGTGTTGAGTCTATGGTGCAGTGTTGAGTCTATGCTGCAGTGCTGAGTCTATGGTGCAGTGTTGAGTCTATGGGCAGTGTTAAGTCTATGGTGCGGTGTTGAGTCTATGGTGCAGTGTTGAGTCTATGGTGCGGTGTTGAGTCTATGGTGCATTGCTGAGTCTGTGGTGCAGTGCTGAGTCTATGTGCAGTGTTAAGTCTATGGTGCAGTGTTGAGTCTATGGTGCAGTGTTGAGTCTATGGTGCAGTGTTGAGTCTATGGTGCAGTGTTGAGTCTTTGGTGCAGTGTTGAGTCTTTGGGCAGTGTTGAGTCTATGGTGCAGTGTTGAGTCTGTGGTGCAGTGTTGAGTCTGTGGTGCATTGCTGAGTCTGTGGTGCAGTGCTGAGTCTGTGGTGCAGTGTTGTCTATGGTGCAGTGTTGAGTCTATGGGCAGTGTTGAGTCTATGGTGCAGTGTTGAGTCTATGGTGCAGTGTTGAGTCTGTGGTGCAGTGTTGAGTCTATGGTGCAGTGTTGAGTCTATGGTGCAGTGTTGAGTCTATGGGCAGTGTTGAGTCTATGGTGTAGTTTTGTTGATGATGGTGTTGTTGATGTTGTTATAGGATGGTGAAGGGAGAGCTGTTTGACTACCTTACTGAGAAGGTGTCACTGAGTGAGAAAGAGACGCGGTGAGACACTCACCCAGTCACTCACCCACTCACTCACTACTCACTCACTCACCCACTCACCCAGTCACTCACCCACTCACTCACCCACTCACCTAGTCACTCACCCACTCACTCACCCACTCACCCAGTCACTCACCCACTCACTCACTACTCACTCACCCACACACCCACCCACCCACTCACTCACCCACTCACTCACCCACTCGCTCGCCCACCCACCCACCCACTCACTCACTCACCCACCACCCAATCACCCACTCACTCACCCACTCACTCACCAGGTCACTCACCCACACACTCAATCACCCACCCACTCACCCACTCACTCACCCACTCACTCACTCTTCCACCGACTCACTCAGCCACTCACCCACTCACTCACTCACCCAGTCACTCACTCACCCACTCACCCACTCACCTACCCACTCACTCACCCACTCATCCACCCACTCACCCACTCACCCACTCACTCACCCACCCACTCACTCACCCACCCACTCACTCACCCACTCACCCACACACTCACCCACTCACACACTCACTCACTCACCAACCCACTCAGTGTAGTGGTTAGCGTGCTGTCTGTGTGTGTCTGTGTGTATGTGTCTGTGTGTGTATGTGTGTCTGTGTGTGTATCTGTGTCTGTGTGTGTGTGTGGTGTCTGATGCCCTATATGACATCATAACAACAGTCTGGACCACTGGATGGGTTCTGCAGGATTGGAAAGATGCCCTTGTGGTCCCCCTCTTTAAGAAGGGGGACCGCACAGACTGTAACAACTACAGGGGCACCTCACTCCTCAGTGTGCCGGGAAAGGTCCTGGCAAGGATTATTCAACATCGCCTTGCCAGACACGCTGAGGAGAGGCTTGCGGAGCCCAATGCGGTTTCAGGAAAGGGCGGTCCTGCACAGATGCCATATTTTCTGTTCGTCTGCTACAGCAGAGGTGTAGGGAATTCCAGCAAGACCTACATCTCTGCTTTATTGACCTGGTCAAGGCCTATGATACCATCAGTAGGCCTGGGCTCTGGGTCGTTCTTCGTGCTTTCGGAGTTCCTGACCCTCTGCTCACGATCATTAAGGACCTTCATGACGGTGAGCGGGCCCGGGTAAAACTACGTGGCCGGGAGTCAGAGCCATTCCCCGTACACCTTGGGGTGCGACAGGGATGTCCTCTGGCTCCCACATTATTTAACATCTATTTCGACCACGTAGTCCGTGAAGCCTTCAATAGCCGTACCGGGGGAATCTCCATATGGTTCAGATATAATGGGAGGCTGATCGATGCCCGGGTGCGGTCAAGGGATGGCTCCCTATTGCTCAACCACGTTATGTATGCCGATGATCCGTGACCCCTCCGTGACCCCCACCGTGACCCCTCCGTGACCCCCCAGCCGCACGATGCGCGCGGTGCTGGAGGTGGTCCACTACCTGCATGATGAGGTGGGAGTCGTCCACCGTGACCTGAAACCCGAGAACATCCTCCTGGACTCCCGCGGAGACATCAAGCTGTCAGACTTTGGCTTCGCTTGCCGCTTGCCCGCACCAGGGCAGCCTCAGCTACGTGGTGAGTTAGTGGGGCTCACTACTACACTACACTATACACTAAACTATACACTACACTATATACACTACACTATACACTACACTACATCAAGCTGTCAGACTTTGGCTTCGCTTGCCGCTTGCCCGCACCAGGGCAGCCTCAGCTACGTGGTGAGTTAGTGGGGGTTACTACACTACACTATACACTACACTATTACACTCCACTACACACTCCACTATACACTATACACTACACTATACACTACACTATACACTACACTATACACTACACTACACACTATACACTACACTATACACTACACTATACACTACATCAAGCTGTCAGACTTTGGCTTCGCTTGCCGCTTGCCCGCACCAGGGCAGCCTCAGCTACGTGGTGAGCTAGTGGGCTCACTACATATACACTACACTATACACTACACTACTATACACTACACTATACACTACACTACTATACACTACACTATACACTACACTATACACTACTACACTATACACTACACTATACACTACACTATACACTACTATACACTACACTACTACACTATACACTACACACTACACTACAACTACACTATACACTACACTATACACTACACTACATCAAGCTGTCAGACTTTTGGCTTCGCTTGCCGCTTGCCCGCACCAGGGCAGCCTCAGCTACGTGTGAGTGTAGGGGTTACTACACTACACTATACACTACACTATACACTACACTATACACTACACTACTATACACAACACTATACACTACACTATACACTGCACTACACACTATACACTACACACTACACTATACACTACACTATATACTACTACACTATACACTACACTACACTATACACTACTATACACTACACTATACACTATACACCACTATACACTACACATATACACCACTAACACTACTACATTATACACTACACTATACACTACACTTTACACTACACTACACACTACACTATTCACTACACTATACACTACACTCTATACACTACACTATAACTACACTACTACTCTAACTACACTATACGCTGTACACTACACTATACACTACACTACACACTACACTATACACACACTACACTATACACTACACTATACACTACACTATACAACTACACTACTATACACTACACTATACACCACACTATACACTATACACTACATCAAGCTGTCAGACTTTGGCTTCGCTTGCCGCTTGCCCGCACCAGGGCAGCCTCAGCTACGTGGTGAGTTAGTGGGGCTCACTATACACTAACTATACACTACACTATACACTACACTATACACTACACTATACACTACACTATACACTACACTATACACTACACTATACACTACACTATACACTACACTATACACTACACTACTATACACTACACTATACACTACACTACTACTACACTACAATACACTACACTATACACTACACTATACACTACACTATACACTACACTACTATACACTACACTACTATACACTACACTATACACTACACTATACACTGCACTATACACTACACACTATACACTACACTTATACACTACACTACTATACACTATACTATACACTACATTACACTATACACTACACTATACACTACACACTATACACTACACACTACACTATACACTACACTATATACTACTACACTATACACTACACTATACACTACTATACACTACACTATACACTATACACCACTATACACTACTACATTATACACCACTATACACTACTACATTATACACTACACTATACACTACACTATACACTACACTATACACTACACTACTACACTACACTATTCACTACACTATACACTACACTATACACTACACTATACACTACACTATACTATACACTACACTATACGCTATACATACACTATACACTACACTACACCACTACACTATACACTACACTATACACTACACTATACACTACACTATACACTACACTATACACTACACTACTATACACTACACTATACACTACACTATACACTACACTACTATACACTACACTATACACTACTATACACTACACTATACACTACACTATACACTACACTATACACTACACTACTATACACTACACTACTATACACTACACTACTATACACTACACTATACACTACACTACACACTACACTATACACTACACTACTACACTACACTACTATACACTACACTATACACTACACTATACACTACAGTACACTATACACTACTACACTATACACTACACTATACACTACTACAGTATACACTACACTATACACTACACTATACACTACACTACACACTACTACACTACACTATACACTACACCACTAACTGCACTTGCCCCAACGTTCTATTGGAGTCTACCTGGGTGAGCTTTGTCTGTGTGTGTGTCTCTGTCCGTTACCCCGCAGAGCTGTACGGGACTCCGGGATACTTGGCGCCTGAGATGTTACAGTGTTCAATGGATCCCACTCACCCTGGATACGGGAAGGAGGTTGACATGTACGCCCTCACCCACTCACTTCGCTCAATCGCTCAATCGCTCACTCACACACTCACTCACTCACTCGCTCACCCACTCGCTCGCTCACTCGCTCGCTCACCCACTCACTCACCCACTCACTCACTCAATCACTCACTCACACACTCACTCAGTCACTCACTCGCTCACCCACTCGCTCGCTCACTCGCTCGCTCACCACCCACTCACCCACTCACTCACTCAATCACTCACTCACACACTCACTCACTCACTCAGTCACTCACTCGCTCACCCACTCGCTCGCTCACTTCGCTCGCTCACCCACTCACTCACCCACTCACTCACTCAATCACTCACTCACTCGCTCACCCTCACTCACTCACTCGCTCACTCAATCACTCACTCGCTAACCCACTCACGCTCACCCTCACTTGCTCATCCACTCGCTCGCTCACTCACTCGCTCACCCACTCACTCACTCGCTCACCCGCTCACTCGCTCACCCGCTCACTCACCCACTCACCCTGGATACGGGAAGGAGGTTGACATGTACGCCTCACCCACTCACCCTCACACTCACCCTCACGCTCACCCTCACTCACCCACTCACTAACTTGCTCGCTCACCCACTCACCCATTCACTCACTCGCTCACCCACTCACTCGCTCACCCACTCACTCACCCTCTCACTCACTCACCCACTCACTCACTCGCTCACTCACTCGCTCACCCACTCACTCACCCACTCACTTTCTCACCCACTCACTCACCCACTCACTCACTCACTCACACACTTACTCACCCTCTCACTCACCCGCTCACTCACCCTCTCACTCACCCGCTCACCCACTCACTCGCTCACTCACTCACTCACCCACTCAGTTTCTCACCCACAGACTCACCCACTCACTCACCCACTCACTCACTCACTTACTCACTCACACCACCATCATCACCATCACCACCATCACCACCATCACCGTCATCACCATCACCACCATCCACCACCGACACCACCCGTCCCGGGCATCCCCTAGGTCGGCTCAGCCTCAAATGAGTACCTGGTGTAGCGGTGGTGGTCGTGTCGCGGTGGTGGTGGTGTAGTGGTGGTGGTGGTGTAGTGAACATCGCTAGCACTGGGGGAGAGACAAAGGCGGCCGGGCGTGGTGGTGCTGGCCACCCAACCCCTCTGTGTGTGCCACAGCCCTGCTAGAGGCTACCTGGGGAGCTTGTCTGTGTGTGTACATCATAGGTGGTGCTACTCGCCACTAGCAGCACTGCCCCTACAGCCCTGCTAGAGGCTACCTGGGGGAGCTTTGTCTGTGTGTGTGTACATCATAGGTGGTGCTACTCGCCACTAGCAGCACTTGCCCCTACAGCCCTGCTAGAGGCTACCTGGGGGAGCTTTGTCTGTGCGGTGTGTAACGTGTGTGTGTGTAGGTGAGCGTGTGTACATGTGTGTGTAACGTGCGTGTACGTGTGGTGTGTGTAACGTGTGTATGTGTGTACGTGTGTGTGTACGTGTGTTAACGTGTTGTGTGTAACACGTGCGTGTGTGTGTACGTATTTGTGTCTTAACATGTGTGTGTACGTGTGTAACGTGTGTGTGTAACGTGTGTGTGTAACGTGTGTGTGTATACGTGTGTGTGTACATGTGTGTAACGTGTGTGTGTAATGTGTGTGTGTGTAAAGTGTGTATGTGTGTGTACGTGTGTGTGTGTACATGTGTGTGTGTAACGTGTGTGTGTGTAACGTGTACGTGTGTGTGTGTGTGTACACTGTGTGTGTGTGTACACTGTGTGTGTGTACACTGTGGCAAAACAACCCCCTACCTCCTTGCGGTGCCGGATGGGCAACTCTGTCGTGGACAGTGCTGTGGGGGGAGGGGCCAATTCCGATTGGCTCCTCCCCTCATGGCGTCTGTGACCACCACAGTGGCTAAATGGGGGTTTTTGGACTGGGTGCGAGGGGCTGATAACCCCTCCACCTTCAACAAATCACCACTAAACCACGACTGAAATATCTAACTAATAAGCTTGTGCCGGAGGCCCCAGGGGGACAGGCGTCTATGACGTCTCTGGCCTAACCCCAATTGGCGGAGCCAGGAGATTGAATATCTACCCTCGGGGCTCCTCCAGAAACAACGAAAAGCCACTACGGATGGCCACGTGGAATGTTCGAACGCTCACTGCGGGAGGAGAGGCTGCCACTCCTCTGTCGGGAGCTGGACAGGTACCGCCTGGATCTGTGCGGCATTCAGGAGGTCCGGTGGACCGGTTCTGGCTCCTGCCACCATGAGGGGTGGACAGTCCTCTATTCGGGGCAGCAGACTGCCAAACAACAGGGTGTGGCTCTTCTTTTGAACAAAAGAATGAAGGGGGCGTGGGAGCGTGGCGGTGAGGTGTGGAAGCTGCAAGCCCCAGGCTACTTTGGGCTCGCCTTCCCATCAACCGGTGGCGAGGAGTGGTGGTCGTGGTTACTTATGCCCCCACCGAAGACGAACATCCATGGAGGGATGCAGGCAAAGCCGATGAGTCAGATGCCTTCTATGACCTCCTGTCACAGGTGCTGGCTAAAGTGGCACCTCGGGATAGAGTCATCATGTTGGGTGACTTCAATGCCCGAGTTGGTCATGATGCTGGCACCTGGTATGGAGTGATTGGAGGGCATGGGCCAGATCAGCTCAATAATAACGGTAGGAGGCTGCTAGATTTTTGTACAGCCTATGGGCTTGTAATTACCAACACGCTGTTCCGGCATCGGCGCATCCACACAACATCATGGATGCATGCCGGGTCCAAGCAAGAACATCTGCTGGACTACATAGTGACGGACCAGCGGATGCGAGCCCATGTCCTTGACACCAGGAGCCTACCGTGGAGCTGATGCCCTCTGACCATCGACTAGTCATCTGTAAGATGCGCCTGGCCATTCTTCCACTCCGGTGGTGGGTGTACACCCAGGACCCCATTCCAACCTAAAGTGGCCTGGTCTCAGTTTATCTGATGAAAGTTGCAAGCGAGAATTTCATCATCGCTTGCGGCTGGGATTGGCATCGTCCCCGACTCCTCCTGATGTCGAGGGTAAATGGGCGAGGGTTTAGGACTGTGACTCATGCAGCTGCAATGGCTGCTTTGGGTACGCGGTCTAGACCTCCCCAGAGACCCTGGCTGACAGAGGAGGTGTTCAGGATGGTTGAGAAAAAGCGACAGGCCCACTGTCATCGGCTACAGAATCCCACGTCAGAGAATGAGGAGGCTTACCGCAGCCTTCGCTCGGAGGTTCGGAGAGCCGTGAGGCGCTGCAAGGATGGGTGGTAGTCGCGGGTTGTGAGGAGATGGAGTCTGCCTCAGTGTCCTGCGATCACAAATCTCTATTTAACTCCATCAAAAAAGTAACCTGCAGCGCCACACATATTACCATCATTAGGGGAAAAAACGGTGATCCAATCTCCGACCCCCAGAACAGGTTGCAGATTTGCTGAGCATTTCTGTGAGGTCCTGGGGGAGGGAAAATCCCTCAGCAGGAAAACATCGTGGCACAAAGTGAGGATGACCCTGCTGAGGCTGCGGTGCCTCAAATATTGGAAGAAGTCACCCCCTGTGAGTGGCTGGGCTGAGGTGCCATCTGTTGAGGAAGTACTGAAGGTGATCCGGAGGTCTGAGACCAGGAAAGGCAGCGGGCAGAGATGATCTCCCAAGCGAAATGCTGAGGGAGGGTGGCGTTTGTGCACAGACTGCCCTATATGACATCATAAACAACAGTCTGGACCACTGGACGGGGTTCCGCAGGATTGGAAGGATGCCCTGGTGGTCTCCCTCTTAAGAAGGGGGACCGCACAGACTGTAACAACTACAGGGGCATCTCACTCCTCAGTGTGCCGGGAAAGGTCCTGGCAAGCATTATTCAGCATCGCCTTGCCAGGCACGCTGAGGAGAGGCTTGCGGAGCCCCCAATGCGGTTTCAGGAAAGGGCGGTCCTGCACAGATGCCATATTTTCTGTCCATCTGCTACAGCAGAGGTGTAGGGAATTCCAACAAGACCTACATCTCTGCTTTATTGACCTGGTCAAGGCCTATGATACCGTCAGTAGGCCTGGGCTCTGGGTTGCTCTTCGTGCTTTTAGAGTACCTGACCCTCTGCTCATGATCATTAAGGACCTTCATGATGGTGAGCGGGCCCGGGTAAAACTAGGTGGCCGGGAGTCAGAGCCATTCCCTGTACACCTTGGGGTGCGACATGGATGTCCTCTGGCTCCCACATTATCTAACATCTATTTTGACCACTTAGTTCGTGAAGCCTTCAATAGCTGTACCGGGGGAATCTCCATATGGTACAGATATAATGGGAGGCTGATCGATGCCCGGTGCGGTCAAGGGATGGCTCCCTATTGGTCAACCACGTTATGTATGCCGATGATTTAGTAATAGCCGCTCATTCAGAGGAGGAGTTGGAGACGCTGCTGCTGAGACTGGAGCGTGCCACTAAGAGGTGGGGCCTTACCATCAGCCCCACCAAAACTAAGCACCTGCCTGGGTATTTTGTACCACGGACACTCCACCCCCACAACTCCCAATCGGTGATGGGGCAGTTGTGGAGAGAGTGGAGAGTTTCCCATACCTGGGCAGTGTGCTTATGACCGGCTCCAGTTTAACAACAGAGGTCTCACTCCCAATCAGTCAAGCAGCAATATCTTTGCATGGGTTGCATAACGCTGTGTGGAAGCTACCTGGTCTGTCACTCCCCCATAATGCAACATCTTCGCCGGTTAGAAAGTTTAGGCTGGCCTGCCTACGATCCATCCTGGCTTTAACCAGGCTGGATTGTGTGAGGAGCTCACAAATCCTTGAAAGATCTGGGCACGGTCCCATCGGTGAGCTCCTCCGGCAGGCAAGGCTGCGTTGGCTGGGTCATGTATCCCGCATGCCCAGCCACCGCATGCCGAAACAGCTTTTGTTCGGCCGGATCGAGGGGCTAAATGGGCGCGGCACGGGCTAGAGAAGAGATGGAGTGATGTGGTACAGGAGGGCGTGGAGCTGAGTGGACTTGCCGATGACTGGTACCAGCGGTGTCAAGATCGGCCTCTGTGGAGGAGGCTCGTGAAGGACGCTGCTGGGCAGTTGGAGGCAGTCGCCCTCCAACAACAACGGAGGGCGGAGGAGCGACGCTCAGAACAACGAGCGGAGCGCCGGGTGGCTAAAGCACAGCGGGTTGGCACAGTAGGGAGGCACAGGTGGTGCATCAGCCAGTCATCTCAGTCAGTCGACCCGTGGCACCTGCTGGGTCTGCCCCGTAACCTCCTGCCAGCGGGCGTTCGACACTCCACGTGGTCTCAAGGTGCACATAGCCTGGCACAAGCGTCGTGGTGATGTCACCGCCACTTAGTGGCGAATGGCGGTTGTTGTTGTTGTACGTGTGTGTGTACGTGTGTGTGTACGTGTGTGTAACGTGTGTACGTGGTGTGTGTGTGTGGTACGTGTGTGTGTGTAACGTGTGTGTGTACGTGTGTATGTAACGTGTGTAACGTGTGTGTGTGTACGTGTGTACGTGTGTGTAACGGTGTATGTGTGTAGGTGGGCGTGTGCGTGAGCGTTTGTGTGTGTGAGTGTTTGTGTGTGCGTGTGTGTGTGCGTGTGTGTGTGCGTGTGTGTGTAACGTGTGTGTGTATGCGTGGTGTGTGTAACGTGTGTGTGTGTGCGTGTGTGTGTACGTGTGTGTAACGTGTGTGTGTGTGTACGTGTGTGGTGTGCGTACATGTGTGTGTGTACGTGGGTGTGTGTAACGTGTGTGTGTACTTGTGTGTGTGTGTAGGTGTGGCGTGTGTGTGTGTACCTGTGTGTAGTGTGTGTGTAACGTGGTGTGTGTGTGTGTACGTGTGTGTGGTGTGGTATCGTGTGTGTGTACGTGTGTGTGTAACGTGTGTATGTGTGTGTGCACGTGTGTACGTGTCTGTGTGTGTGTGTAACGTGTGTGTGTGTGTAACGTGTGTGTGTGCGTGTGTGTGTGTGTAGGTGGGCGTGTGTGTGTACACTGTGTGTGTGTAACGTGTGTGTGTACGTGTGTGTGTGTAACGTGTGTGTGTACGTGTGTGTGTAACGTGTGTATGTGTGTGTGCACGTGTGTACGTGTGTGTGCACGTGTGTACGTGTCTGTGTGTGCACGTGTGTACGTGTCTGTGTGTGTGTACGTGTCTGTGTGTGTGTACGTGTGTGTGTGTGCAACGTGTGTTGTACGTGTGTGTGTGTGTACGTGTGTGTGTGTGTAACGTGTGTGTGTGTAACGTGTGTGTACGTGTGTGTGTGTACGTGTGGGGAGCGATAGTGTAGCGGTTAGCGCGCTGCGCTATGAACCTGGCGACCCAGGTTCGATTCCCGCTCACGGCCAACACCAGTGACGATTATCTGAACCGGTCCCGGGCCTGCCCCTAGGTCGACTCAGCCTCAAATGAGTACCTGGTGCGGTGTGTAAACATCGCCACTAGGGAGACAAAGGCGGTCGGGCGTGGTGCTGGCCACCCACCCCCTCGTGTACCGTTCCGGCCTTCATAGGTGCTCGCTAACAGAACTTGCCCCTACAGTCTGTTACAGGCTATATGGGGGATCTTTGTCTTTGTCTTTGTGTACGTGTATGTGTACGTGTGTGTACATGTGTGTGTGTGTACGTGTGTGTGTGTGTTAGGTGTGTGTGTGTACGTGTCTGTGTGTGTGTGTACGTGTGGGTGTGTAACGTGTGTGTACGTGTGTGTGTGTGTATCATGTGTGTGTGTAACGTGTGTGTAACGTGTGTGTGTGTGTGTTTACGTGTCTGTGTGTGTGTGTAGGTGTGTGTGTGTAACTTGTGTGTACATGTGTGTGTGTACGTGTGTGTGTACGTGTGTGTGTGTACGTGTGTGTGTACGTGTCTGTGTGTGTGTGTAGGTGTGTGTGTGTAACGTGTGTGTACATGTGTGGTGTGTACGTGTGTGTGTACGTGTGTGTGTGTAGGTGGGGGCGTGTTGGCGTCATCACGTTCACACTGCTGGCTGGCTCCCCACCCTTCTGGCATCGCAAGCAGCTGCTGATGCTGGCGACTCATCATGGAGGGGCGCTACCAGCTCAACTCGCCAGCCTGGGACGACAAATCCTCCTGCGTCAAAGACCTGGCAAGTGACGCACACACAGAGTGACACACACACAGTGTACACACACACACACAGTGACACACACACAGTGACACACACACACACACAGTGACACACACACACAGTGACACACACACACACAGTGACACACACAGTGACACACACACAGTGTACACACACAGTGACATACACAGTGACACACACAGTGACACACACAGTGACACACACAGTGACACACACAGTGACACACACACACAGCGTGACACACACAGTGACACACACACACAGCGTGACACACACACACAGAGTGACACACACAGTGACACACACAGTGACACACACAGTGACACACACAGTGACACACACAGTGACACACACACACAGTGACACACAGTGACACACACAGTGACACACACACAGTGACACACACAGTGACACACACAGTGACACACACATACACACAGTGACACACACAGTGACACACACACAGTGACACACACACAGTGACACACACACAGTGACACACACAGTGACACACACACAGTGATACACACACAGTGAACACACACACAGTGACACACACACAGCGTGACACACACAGTGACACACACACAGCGTGACACACACAGTGACACACACACACAGTGACACACACACAGTGACACACACACACAGTGACACACACAGTGACACACACAGAGTGACACACACAGAGTGACACACACACAGCGTGACACACACAGTGACACCACAGTGACACACACACACAGTGACACACACAGTGACACACACACAGTGACACACACACACAGTGACACACACAGTGACACACACGTTACACACACATACAGTTACACAAAGATAAGATCCCCCATATAGCCTAAACAGACTGTAGGGGCAAGTGCTGTTATCGAGCACTTATGAAGGCCGGAACGGTACAACGAGGGGTGGGTGGCCAGCACCACGCCCCGACCGCCTTTGTCTCCCTAGTGGCAATGTTTACAACACCGCACCAGGTACTCATTTGAGGCTGAGTCGACCTAAGGGGAGGCCCAGGACCGGTTCAGATAATCGTCACTGGTGTTGGCCGTGAGCGGGAATCGAACCCAGGTGGCCAGGTTCATAGTGCAGTGCGCTAACCGCTACACTATCGCTTCCCAGCTACACTATCGGCCAGCTACACGCCCGGCCGCCTTTGTCTCCCTATGGGCGATGATGGTAGTGATGGTAATGATGGTAGTGATGGTAATGATGGGTAGTGATGATGATGAAGGTAGTGATGATGATGATGGTAGTGATGATGTAGTGATGGTAAATGATGGTAGTGATGGTAATGATGGTAGTGATGATGATGATGGTAGTGATGGTAGTGATGATGATGGTAGTGATGATGATGATGGTAGTGATGATGGTAGTGATGGTAATGATGGTAGTGATGGTAATGATGGTAGTGATGGTAATGATGGTAGTGATGATGGATGGTAGTGATGATGGTGATGGTAGTGATGATGGTAGTGATGGTAATGATGGTAGTTGATGGTAATGATGGTAGTGATGATGATGTAAGTGATGATGGTGATGATGGTAGTGATGATGATGGTAGTGATGATGATAGTGATCATAGTGATGGTAGTGATGGTAGTGATGATGATAGTGATGATAGTGATGGTAGTGGATGGTAGTGATGGAGTGAGGTGGTGATGATGATGGTAGTGATGGTAGTGATGTCTGATTGTAGATATGCAGGATGCTGTGTGTGGACCTGTGTCTCCATGATGATGATGATGATAGTGATGGTAGTGATGATGATGGTAGTGATGGTGATGATGTAGTGATGGTAGTGATGGTTAGTGATGATGATGGTAGTGATGATGGTCGTGATGGTGATGATGGTAGTGATGATGGTGGTAGTGATGGTAGTGATGATGGTAGTGATGGTGATGTAGTGATGTTGATGATGATAGTGATGATGGTAGTGATGGTAGTGATGGTAGTGATGATGATGGTAGTGATGGTGATGGTAGTGATGGTAGTGATGGTGATGGTAGTGATGATGATGGTAGTGATGATGGTGATGGTAGTGATGATGGTAGTGATGATGATGGTAGTGTGATGGTGATGGTAGTGATGATGTAGTGATGGTGATGGTAGTGATGTTGATAATGATATCTGATTGTAGATATGCAGGTTGCTGTGTGTGGACCTGTGTCTCCATGGTGATGGTAGTGATGGTAGTAGTGATGGTGGTAGTGATGGTGGTAGTGATGTTGATGATGATGATAGTGATGATGTTGATGATGTTATCTGATTGTAGATATGCAGGTTGCTGTGTGTGGACCTGTGTCTCCATGATGATGATGATGGCAGTGATGATGATGATGGTAGTGATGGTGGTAGTGATGATAGTGATGATGATGGTAGTGGTGGTGGTAGTGATGATGATGTTGATGGTAGTGATGATGATGATGGTGGTAGTGATGATAGCGATGGTGATTGTGATGATGGTAGTGATGATTGATGATGATGTTGAGATGATGATATCTGATTGTAGATATGCAGGGTTGCTGTGTGTAGACCTGTTCTCATGATGAGGATGATGGTAGTGATGGTGATGATTGGTGATGATGATGGTATGATGGTGGTATGATGATAGTGATGGTGATTGTGATGATGGTAGTGATGTTGATATCTGATTGTAGATATGCAGGTTGCTGTGTGTAACCTGTGTCTCCATGATGATGAGATGGTAGTGATGAATAGTGATGGTGATTGTGATGATGGTAGTGATGTTGATGATGATGATATCTGATTGTAGATATGCAGGTTGCTGTGTGTGGACCTGTGTCTCCCTGGTGATGATGATGATGGTAGTAGTGATGGTAGTGATGGTAATTGTGATGATGGTAGTGATGTTGATGATGATGATATCTGATTGTAGATATGCAGGTTGCTGTGTGTAGACCTGTGTCTCCCTGGTGATGATGATGATGGTAGTGATGGTAGTGATGGTAATTGTGATGATGGTAGTGATGTTGATGATGATGATATCTGATTGTAGATATGCAGGTTGCTGTGTGTGGACCTGTGTCTCCCTGGTGATGATGATGATGGTAGTGATGGTAGTGATGGTAATTGTGATGATGGTAGTGATGTTGATGATGATGATATCTGATTGTAGATATGCAGGTTGCTGTGTGTGGACCTGTGTCTCCATGATGATGGTAGTGATGATAGTGATGATGATGTTGATGATGATGATGTTGATGATGATGATGGTGATGATGATGATATCTGATTGTAGATATGCAGGTTGCTGTGTGTGGACCTGTGTCTCCATGATGATGATGATGGTAGTGATGATATGATGATGATGTTGATGATGATGATGATATCTGATTGTAGATATGCAGGTTGCTGTGTGTAGACCCACTGCAGCGACTCACCGCAGCACAAGCGTTGGCTCACCCCTTCTTCCAGAGCTACACGCGGGAGCTCAAGCAAGGGCTCTCCCCGCTAACGCAGGTTCAGGGTGCGTGTCTACCGTGTCTACACACAGAGACACGTAGAGACACGTGTGTCTCTGTGTGTCTCTGTGTCTCTGTGTGTCTACACGTGTCTCCGTGTCTCTACGTGTGTCTCTGTGTGTCTCTGTGTGTCTCTGTGTGTCTCTGTGTGTCTCTGTGTCTCTCCCCGCTACGCAGGTTCAGGGTGCGTGTCTACACGTGTCTACACGTGTGTCTCTGTGTGTCTCTGTGTGTCTCTGTGTGTCTACACGTGTCTACACGTGTCTCCGTGTCTCCATGTGTGTCTCTGTGTGTCTCTGTGTGTCTCTGTGTCTCTCCCCGCTACGCAGGTTCAGGGTGCGTGTCTACACGTGTCTACACGTGTGTCTCTGTGTGTCTCTGTGTCTCTGTGTGTCTCCACGTGTGTCTTTGTGTGTCTACACGTGTCTACACGTGTCTACACGTGTCTACACGTGTGTCTCTGTGTGTCTACACGTGTCTCCGTGTCTCTACGTGTGTCTCCCCGTGTCTCTACGTGTCTCTGTGTGTCTCTGTGTGTGTCTCTGTGTCTCTCCCCGCTACGCAGGTTCAGGGTGCGTGTCTACACGTGTCTCTGTGTGTCTCTGTGTGTCTCTGTGTCTCCACGTGTGTCTCTGTGTGTCTCCGTGTCTCTACGTGTGTCTCTGTGTGTCTCCGTGTCTCTACGTGTCTCTGTGTGTCTCTGTGTCTACACGTGTCTCCCCGTGTCTCTACGTGTCTCTGTGTGTCTCTGTGTCTCTCCCCGCTACGCAGGTTCAGGGTGCGTGTCTACACGTGTCTACACACAGAGACACGTGGAGACACGTGTGTCTCTGTGTGTCTCTGTGTCTCCATGTGTGTCTCTGTGTGTCTCTGTGTGTCTCTGTGTGTCTCTGTGTGTCTCTGTGTCTCCATGTGTGTCTCTGTGTGTCTCTGTGTGTCTCTGTGTGTATCTGTGTGTCTCTGTGTGTCTCTGTGTGTCTCCACGTGTGTCTCCACGTGTCTCTACGTGTGTCTCCGTGTGTCTCTGTGTGTCTCTGTGTGTCTGTGTGTCTCTCCCCGCTACGCAGGTTCAGGGTGCGTGTCTACACGTGTCTACACACAGAGACACGTGTAGACACGTGTGTCTCTGTGTGTCTCTGTGTGTGTCTGTGTCTCTGTGTGTCTCCATGTGTGTCTCTGTGTGTCGCTGTGTGTCTACACGTGTCTACACTGTGTCTCTGTGTGTCTCTGTGTGTGTCTCCCCGTGTCTCCACGTGTCTCTGTGTGTCTCTGTGTGTCTCTGTGTCTCTCCCCGCTACGCAGGTTCAGGGTGCGTGTCTACACGTGTCTACACACAGAGACACGTGTAGACATGTGTCTCTGTGTGTCTCTGTGTGTCTCTGCGTGTCTACACGTGTCTCCACGTGGAGACACGTGTGTCTCTGTGTGTCTCTGTGTGTCTCCGTGTCTCTACGTGTCTCTGTGTGTCTCTGTGTCTCTCCCCGCTACGCAGGTTCAGGGTGCGTGTCTACACGTGTCTACACACAGAGACACGTGTAGACACGTGTGTCTCTGTGTGTCTGTGTGTCTCCACGTGTGTCTCTGTGTGTCTGTGTGTCTCTCCCCGCTACGCAGGTTCAGGGTGCGTGTCTACACGTGTCTACACGTGTGTCTCTGTGTGTCTCTGTGTGTCTCTGTGTGTCTGCACGTGTCTACACGTGTCTACACGTGTGTCTCTGTGTGTCTCTGTGTGTCTCTGTGTGTCTACACGTGTCTACACATGTCTACACGTGTCTACACGTGTGTCTCTGTGTGTCTCTGTGTGTCTCTGTGTGTCTCTGTGTCTACACGTGTCTCCCCGTGTCTCTACGTGTCTCTGTGTGTCTCTGTGTCTCTCCCCGCTACGCAGGTTCAGGTGCGTGTCTACACGTGTCTACACGTGGAGACACGTGTAGACACGTGTCTCTGTGTGTCTCTGTGTGTCTCTGTGTGTCTCTGTGTCTCTGTGTGTCTCTGTGTGTCTCTGTGTGTGTCTCACTGTGTCTCTGTGTGTTTCTGTGTGTCTCTGTGTGTCTCCACGTGTGTCTCTTTGTCTCCGCTTGTGTCTCTGTGTGTGTCTCTTTGTCTCCACGTGTGTCTCTGTGTGTCTCTGTGTGTCTCTGTGTGTCTACACGTGTGTCTCTGTGTGTCTCTGTGTGTCTCCACGTGTCTCCACGTGTGTCTCTGTGTGTCTCTGTGTGTCTCTGTGTCTCTCCCCGCTACGCAGGTTCAGGGTGCGTGTCTACACGTGTCTACACGTGGAGACACGTGTCTCTGTGTGTCTGTGTCTCTGTGTGTCTCTGTGTGTCTCTGTGTGTGTCTGTGTCTCTGTGTGTCTCTGTGTGTCTCCACGTGTGTCTCTCCCCGCTGCGCAGGTTCAGGGTGCGTGTCTACACGTATCTACACACAGAGACACACAGAGACACACAGAGACACGTCTCTGTGTGTCTCTGTGTGTCTCTGTGTGTCTCCACGTGTGTCTCTGTGTGTCTCCACGTGTGTCTCTGTGTGTCTCTGTGTGTCTCCGTGTGTCTCTGTGTGTCTCTGTGTGTCTCGGTGTCTCTACGTGTGTCTCTGTGTGTCTCTGTGTCTACACGTGTCTCCCCGTGTCTCTACGTGTCTCTGTGTGTCTCTGTGTCTCTCCCCGCTACGCAGGTTCGGGTGCGTGTCTACACGTGTCTCTTCACGTGTCTCCACGTGTAGACACGTGTGTCTCTACGTGTCTCCACGTGTCTCTGTGTCTACACGTGTCTCTGTGTCTCTCCCCACTACGCAGGTTCAGGTGGGTTTCTACACGTGTCTCTGTGTGTCTCTGTGTCTCTGTGTGTGTTCACGTGTCTACACGTGTCTCTGTGTGTCTCTACGTGTCTCTGTATCTCCACGTGTGTCTCTACGTGTCTCCGTGTGTCTCTACGTGTCTCTGTGTCTCCACGTGTGTCTCTACGTGTCTCCGTGTGTCTCTATGTGTCTCTGTGTGTCTCTGTGTCTCTCCCCGCTACGCAGGTTCAGGGTGCGTGTCTACACGTGTCTACACGTGTCTCTACGTGTGTCTCTGTGTGTCTCCGTGTCTCTACGTGTGTCTCTGTGTCTACACGTGTCTCCCCGTGTCTCTACGTGTCTCTGTGTGTCTCTGTGTGTCTCTGTGTCTCCATGTCTCCACGTGTGTCTCCACGTGTGTCTCCACGTGTCTGTGTCTCCACGTGTGTCTTCACGTGTCTCTGTGTGTCTCTGTGTCTCTCCCCGCTACGCAGGTTCAGGGTGCGTGTCTTTTGTGTCTGTGTCTCTGTGTGTATCTCTCTCCACGTGTCTCCGTGTCTCTAAGTGTCTCCGTGTCACGTGTCTCCACGTGTGTCTGTGTGTCTCCACGTGTGTCTCTGTGGGTGTCTCCACGTGTGTCTCTGTGTATCTCTGTGTATCTCTGTGTGTCTCTGTGTGTCTCTACGTGTCTGTGATTCTCTGTGTGTCTCTGTGTGTCTCTGCGTGTCTCCGTGTCTCGTGTCTCCACGTGTGTCTGTGTGTCTCTGTGTGTGTCTCTGTGCGTGCCTCCACGTGTGTCTCTGCGTGTCTCCACGTGTCTCTGTGTCTCTCCCCGCTACGCAGGTTCAGGGTACGTGTCTCCGTGTGTCTACACGTGTGTCTCTACGTGTCTCCACGTGTCTCCGCGTGTCTCTGCGTGTCTCCGTGTCTCGTGTCTCCACGTGTGTCTGTGTGTCTCCACGTGTGTCTCTGTGTGTGTCTCTGTGTCTCCACGTGTGTCTCCTTGTCTCCACGTGAGTCTCCGTGTCTCCACGTGTGTCTCTGTGTGTCTGTGTCTCTGTGTGTATCTCTCTCTCCCCGTGTCTCTCCCTCACCCCGTGTCTCTCTCTCTTTCCCCGTGTCTCTCTTCCCGTGTCTCCCTCACCCCGTGTCTCTCTCCCCGTGTCTCTCTCACCCCGTGTCTCTCTCACCCCGTGTCTCTCTCCCCATGTCTCTCTCACCCCGTGTCTCTCTCTCCCCGTGTCTCTCTCCCCGTGTCTCTCTCACCCCGTGTCTCACCCCGCGTCTCTCCCCGCGTCTCTCCCCATGTCTCTCCCCGTGTCTCTCTCTCCCCGTGTCTCTCTCTCACCCCGTGTCTCTCTCACCCCGTGTCTCTCTCACCCCGTGTCTCTCTCACCCCGTGTCTCTCTCTCTCTCCGTGTCTCTCTCCTCGTGTCTCTCTCTCCCCGTGTCACTCTCTCTCTCCCCGTGTCACTCTCTCTCTCCGTGTCTCTCTCCCCGTGTCTCTCTCCCCGTGTCTCTCTCTCACCCCGTCTCTCTCACCCCGTGTCTCTCTCACCCTGTCTCTCTCACCCCGTGTCTCTCTCCCCGTGTCTCTCTCACCCCGTGTCTCTCTCACCCCGTGTCTCTCTCTCCCCGTGTCTCTCTCACCGACTGTCTCTCTCACCCCGTGTCTCTCTCACCCCGTGTCTCTCTCACCCCGTGTCTCTCTCTCCCCGTGTCTCTCTCCCCGTGTCTCTCTCTCTCCCTGTGTCTCTCTCCCCCCCGTGTCTCTCTCCCCGTGTCTCTCTCACCCCGTGTCTCTCTCACCCGTGTCTCTCTCACCCCGTGTCTATCTCTCCTGTCTCTCACCCCGTGTCTCCCTCACCCCGTGTCTCTCTCCCCGTGTCTCTCTCTCTCCGTGTCTCTCTCCCCCGTGTCTCTCTCTCCCCGTGTCTCTCTCTCTCACCCCGAGTCTCTCTCTCCGTGTCTCTCTCCTCCCGTGTCTCTCTCACCCCGTGTCTCTCACCCCGTGTTTCTCTCTCACCCGTGTCTCTCTCCCCGTGTCTCTCTCCCCGTGTCTCTCCCTCCCCGTGTCTCTCTCTCCCCGTGTCTCTCTCTCTCCACGTGTCTCTCTCCCCGTGTCTCTCTCACCCCGTGTCTCTCTCTCCCCGTGTTTCTCTCACCCCGTGTCTCTCTCCCCGTGTCTCTCCCCGTGTCCTCTCTCCCGTGTCTCTCTCCCGTGTCTCTCT